AGGTTCTACAACACTTCAAACAACAACTTCACCAAACTCTTTAGTTATGAATCCAACATCTATGTTAGTAGAGATGAAAAACTTCATTCCTTCTTCATATACTTTTGAAACAGAAATCCAGAAGATAAAGCAAGAACTTTTAACAAGTAATTTAGACTGTAGTGCGAAAGATGAAACAAATGAACAGTATCTTTATGAAATGCAGGACATTATTGACCATTTACCCAAATTGCATGAAATCCAACAACAAAAGCTCACTATTCCTGAATTCGACGAAATTGAAGTCAAAGCAACTGACTCAGTAGAAATAAAGAAGTTCATTCGTAAGGTAAACTATGAGTTTCTAGGATTTCATTGCAACCATAAGGTTATGGACAAAGATTGCGACATGGTTTATAAAAATATTTCTGACCTTTACAAAACCCGGGAGTTTAAGACCTACGACAACTTTGTTTCGTTAGTTGCTGAATGTGTATGGCAGATAAGAGATAAAGATAGAAGATGTAAAGTATGGAATGAACAAATAAAACCAGCAACTTTTGAGTTAAAGAAAACCATTGACGCTTTAGTTGTTTTAGCAGGTAAGGTTTCAGAATATAACGCAAAAATGAACCCGCAATGTTCTAAATGTAAGGCAGCAATTAGGAAATATAACTACTCCGTCAAAGAGATAGAAAGAATGAGAAACGACTATGCAGATTTAAAGAAAGAAGCAGAGAAACCAGCAGAAAATAAAATGGACATGTTAGCATTTCTGAACAAAAACTATCCAACTGCTGACGATTTCCTTCTATCTGACGTCAAGAAGAAGTATAAAGAAACCTTCGGCATAGTTAAAACATTCGATATCCTCAGCGAAGAAATAGAAGCTACAAAACTGTTTAGAATTTCAAATATACATCGTACAATTCATGTAAAACGTTTATAAAATAACTGAGGTGAAAAAACAGGTGAGAAAACGGGTGAGATCTCACCTCTTCACCTAAACATTATTTTTGCTGAAAAATGACCAAAATTCTGAGTAAAATAATTTTTAGGGCATGTGTCAAACCGTTGAGTTTTCACAAAATTTAAAAAATAACGTTTACCATGTGAAACGCTTATAAAATAACTGGGGTAGAAAACAGGTTAGAAAACAGGTTAGATCTAACCTCTTCACCTAAACTTTATTTTTGTCTGATTTACGCTCATTACGAAGAAGTCTTGACAAAACATTTACGAAGAAGTCTTGACAAAACATTTACGAAGAAGTCTTGACAAATTCAAGAGGGTAGAAAAGAGGTGAGAAAACGGGTGAGATCTCACCTCTTCACCTAAACTTTATTTTTGTCTGATTTACGCTCATTACGAAGAAGTCTTGACAAAACATGTACGATGAAATCATGACAAAACATGTACGATGAAATCATGACAAAACATGTACGATGAAGTCTTGACAAATTCAAGAGGGTAGAAAAGAGGTTAGAAAAGAGGTGAGATCTAACCTTCTACCCTAAAATATATTTTTGCTGAATTCAGCACAAAAATCTGAGTAAAATGGCATAAGATTGCTTCCCTCGAAAAACCGAGGATAGAGATTCCGTATGAAAATCGTGAAATTTCTCTAGACCGGATTTTACCGGCCTTGCCTAAAACACATGAAAATCATGAAGAACAGCGAGTAGGTAAGAAATCCTGGTCGCCTAAAACTCTATGAAAATCATGAATTTCCTTAAGACAGAAAAAATAAAGTTAGTTTTTTATAAAATATTTTTTTTATTTTGTATGTAAGAACAGAAATGACAAACACTGAGTTTGAAACAGTTAGAAAGATAGACAATAACACTAAAGTGGTTAGAATTGGTGATTTAAACGTAAGATACTCAAAGAAATACAACAAATATTCTTTGTCAGACATTATATCTCCATCTGGAAAGAAAACATACCATTGGGTTAAAATTGCTTCAACTCAGAAAATTTTGACAAGAAATCCTGAGCTTATGATATCGGTAAGATTCTATGGAACTACAGCATATCTTATAGACAAAAGTCTTATACCAATAGTTTTGTTATGGTTAGACCCAGTTGTTGGATATAACTTCATAACATATGGTTCATTCGATACGGAACGTTGCAGTGAAGGCTTACTTTACATCGTTCAGAAACCGAAGGACTTCAATACAAAAAGATATAAGATAGGAAGAACATATAATATAACTCAAAGATATGACAGTACAGTCAATAGAGTCAAGGTTGTGTTCGTTAACGATATGAGAGCTGCTGAAACAGAACTACTCGAAAAGTTTGAGAAAATGTATGGTGCTCCCACGAAAGGTAAAGAAACGTTTGAAGTAGATGAGATAGATAAAGCTATAAAATTATTTGACGAAGTTGCTGAAAAATACATGTAAAGCGTTTATTTTTGGTCTTTTGTGAAAGTCAGAAAATAACGCTAATTTTTTATAAAATATTTTTTTTATTTTGTATGTAAAGACAGATATGTCAACAACAGAGAACACAACAACAGTTATAGTCCATGAAGCTATAAATGAAGAATATGAGTGGGTTCAGTTTAACAAACAACTCCGTCTCATTCGTTCGGTCAAAGACGATATGTACCAAATGCAAAGTATTTTGAACGCTCTTCGTTCTACAAAGCAAGCATATCATTGGTTTGAAAACCAACAGACAAAAGAACTTTTAGAAGAATTTCCTCATATGTTTGCTACCCTCGAAAAACCGAGGAATGAGATTCCGTATGAAAATCGTAAAAATTTGCCAATAAATTTAAGAGGATATTATGTTCATAGACTTCTCGTAAATGCTGTTGCAATGTGGGCTTCACCTCGTTACGCTTGTTATATTTTCATGATGTTAGATGAAATTCATAGACAAGAACGTGAAGAGCTAGAGAACAAGCTTGAAGCAAAAGACAAAAACATTCAGAAAAGAATACCACGTTCGGTACCAAAAGGAAAGGAAAAGAACTATAAGTATATGATTTATACTGAAGAGATGGAAAATGAAGAAGACAGAGATATGGTTATGTTGCATTTAGTCAGAAGAAACAACAAAAGCTTTTACGACCTTGCTAAGATTTACAAATCTGACAGAAATTGGTTCTATCGCGAAAACTTACCGATTTCAATGACCCCGAATGAAGATGTGAAACAAATAGTTCAAGATACGTTACCTCAAACACACTATGATATTAAAGGTTGTACAATACTTACCTTCAAAGAAGATTTGCCATTGTTAAAGGAAAAAATAACAGAGTATTTTGACAACTTCAAACAAGTAGGGTAGATGCACTCTTTATTTTTACGCTTGACTTCAGATGGCTCAGGTAGCTCTATAAAGTAAATTGCCTTGTCAAATCCTTCTGGCATTCCGAGTCCTTCCATCCGACAGAAAAATATTTTCCCGACAACTGGAAAAAGTTTTTCCTTCCTACAGGAAAAATTTTCCTTCCTACAAGAAAAAATTTTCCAGTTGTCCGTCCGTAAACCATTCAAATTTTCGAAAATTGAGAACTTTTTGGTCGAACTTCAGAAAAAAATTTTCCATCCGACAGGAAAAATTTTTCCATCCGACAGGAAAAAAATTTTCCTTCCAACAGGAAAAGTTCTTCCTTCCAACAGGAAAAGTTCTTCCTTCCGACAGGACACAAACGGATGACTGACGTTCCTCTTCCTGAATGCCTTCCAAAGCCAGAAGAACCGACAGCCCCAGCACCACAACAGACTTACTAAGACTAAACACTTACATTTTCAAGCTTGACTTTTTACAATTTGAACTTTGTTTGCGTAGATATGAATTCTGAAAGAAGTATGAGGGTCTTGTATGACTTTGTACTTCTCCCATAGTTCATGTCTGTCAAACTTACCTGCCATGGACTCTTTCATAAGTTCCATGAAATCGTCTTCGGACAATCCGGGGAAAAGTACAATGTCAGTAAGTATTCTTTTAACATCCTTACTTAAACTCTTTGCTGTCTGTACACAAATGACAACTGAAATGTTAAAGTGCCTAAGTTTCTTAAGAATTCGACACATATCTTGTTCTCTGTTCTTTAACAAAGGATGAGAGGCGAAATCATCTAAGATAAGAAGACATCTATGAGGGTACGTTTTCCAATCGTAAGATTGCAATTTCTTCGAAATGTATTCTATCTCTTTCTGTTTGTTTCTGAAGTGTTTCTTCTCTAATATTCTCTGCATTTCCTCATTTGGGTCTTTAAACTTAGAATTTATATACTCATTTATAGCATTATACTTCAAAACTCTTCTTTGGTACTTCTTTATCCAATCTAACAACTCAGTATCCTTTATACATACTAACTTAGACTTCTTTATAATATCTTTGAACGAATTGACGGTTTGGTCAAATTGACCAGAAGTACTACAAATAACAACTAACTCATAGAATGGGTTCTTCTCATCTAGTTCTTGTTGTTGTGCAGCCATTTTAAGATAAGTGAAAGTCTTACCCGACCCAGGTGGTGCAATTAGACCTGTTATACCATTCTGAGCAAATAAGAACTTGTCATGTATAGGTTTTATCTGAGCATTTTCTAACTTCCTCTTGTTCTTGTTTAAAACATTCTCAAATTTCTTGTCAATGTCAGCAAACTTTTTTTCTAACATATTTTTAGAAAAATTAAAATTTTTATCTTTTAGAAAATGTCTAGCGATTTCGCTATCTATATTCGAGACAAGCTTTTCGACAGCAAAACATCTGTCGACCATAAAATCTTACATAGTGTAAACAAGAAAGGTGAATTTGTTCTAAAGTTCTGTTTCTGGGAATATGACAAGAACCATAAAACATTAGGCAGAGAAGTCTTAAAATTTGTCAATGACAGACTTGTTGACAGAGATGACGCCTCTTGGAGAGATGAAGTCCAACAAAAGTTCTTAGAATGCAAAGAAGACACATGCGCTGTTCTTGAAGATGAAATAGGAAACAGAATAGATGAGCTATTAAAGGACAAAGAACTTTTACATAAATATGGTTCGGAGAAATTTGACATAACTCCACCAGAAAAGAAGAAGAGAGAAAAGAAAGAGAAGAAAGTAGAAGAGAAGAAAGAAAAGAAAGTAGAAGAAGAGAAGAAAGAACCTGAACCAGTTCCAGAGAAAAAGAAATTTGACATGTAAAAATAAAATTTTATTTTTAGAACATTTCTGGGTCAATGTCAATGTTCTCTTCCTCTTTAGGAGCAAACACTGGCTTAGACTCTAAAATCTTTTTACCCAATTTACCTTGAACTTCAACTATCTTAGACTCATAATATTCATAGTCGTCTGCTTTCTTTGGTTCATAAGGTATAACAAGTTTGTATGCTTTGCCTTCTTTAAGGTTTGAGAACCTTCTGTCAAAACTTTCTTTGACTGCTAACAAACCTTCTATGTATAAGTCTTCAAATTTCGCACCATTTTTAGTCACAATAGCAAACTTAACTGGTTCGATGTTCCAAACTTTGCTGAATGAAGACTTTTCAAAATGGTAGAAGTAAACATTCAAATATGTGAATGGGTCTAGTTCTTCTTTAAGTCCTGACATGTACTTGTTTACTGAGATGAATTTTGCCATCTTTTCTATCGGATAAAAAAATATTTTTTTTAAATTTACTCATAAAAATTTTTCTTTGTATATACACCATTCTGAACATCTAAAAGACTTTTGACATTTGCCAAGAATGTTCGTTTAGACGCTGTCATATAACCATATTCTTGACAATATTGTTTATACGAATCGTACAATGACCTTTCATCTAATGACACAAAGTCAGTTTCATCTATGAACAGTTCATATACACTCTTGTTTGCTTCTAACAATGTTTGTCTCTCTTCGGTATGTGGAATTTGTCTTGGATTGAACTTAGAAATATCTAATGTCATAAAATATGAGAACAAGTGGTTGTAAAAGTCAGATGTCAAAGTTTCTGCTAAGTCGTCAAAATATTCTGTATCTTGCATATGAGAATCTGACGTTCTGACAACTACATATCTTCTGTCAGAACTTTCTAACTTCATCGGAACAGCATTGTTTGAAACCATAATGAAGTTTGCAACATTTTCACAAACTCTTTGGTCTTTATACTTTCTTTCAACAACACCAACTTTGTCTGTTATAAGACTCTTCAAAGCATCTGAGTTTAAAACTTTTGTTGTATCTATACTTTGAAGTTCATTGCAAACTATAAGTTTCATATTCTCTATTGAGGAGTTAAACTTGCCACAGATGTTTTCTAAGTTTGTCATATTCGGGTTCGAATAGCCTTCTAACAGTTTGCATAAGATATCTGTAAAGAATGTGTTCTTACCAGTTCCTTGTTTTCCAATTATAATGAGAGCAGTTTCATTTTTAGCACTTGGATGTTGTAAGATATTTGCAAACCAACATAAGATATACTCATAGACTCTTTCGTTTCCATTGCATATAATTTCTTTGACATGGTCTAACCAAGCTTCTATAATATTTTCTTTCCATTCTACTTGTTCGTATTTATATCCAGTGAAGATAGAATAGAAGTTTGGAGAAGGTGTATAGAACTTTATACCTCGAACTGAAAAATCTTCTAACTTTGACAATAAGATATCCCAAGCATCTAACATCTTCATTCCAACTTGTACAACTTTTATTTTCTTAAGTTTCTGTTTACATTCTTGTTCTGAAACTATTGTCGCTTTAGGTTTGTTAAAGACTACATCCCATTCTTTCATAACATAACATTCTGGGGCAGAGTCAACATAAATGACTAAACGTTTCAAATTCTCGACTGCTTTGTTATAGTCTCGAAATGGACACATATTTCTGAATGCTTGGAAGTCATAAAAATCTGAAACATCTATTCTGTACATTTTTATAAAAATAAAAAAAATATTTTTTTTATTCTTGACTTTGTTGTTGCATTTGTTGCATTTGTTGTTCTTGAGCTATTTGTTGTTGAAGTTGTTCTTGTAATACAATACTTTCACCAGTTGCATCTTCCAATTCGAAACTTTCTGCCGTCATTGACAAATACATAGGACATAAAAGTTTTACAGGAACAAAGTTTGCGTCAACTAATGTCAACGTTATACTTGCCAAAGTGTTTGAGTTCACTAAGGTTGAAAATTCTGCATTCGAATGAACAATAGGCAAACCAGCAGAGAAAGTATTGTTTATACGCATAAGTATCTTTTGGTCATAATAGTTTCTGTCAACATTCGAATAACACTTTGAACCTAAGTTTGAAACAATATATAAGATTGGTGTGCTTAATGTCAATGGAATAGACATTCCTTGTATGACACCTTTTCCTGTTATAGGAAACTGTTGGTAGTAAAACCAGAAATAAGTTTTGTATTATAGCTCATATCGTTTATAGTAAACTCAGTCGGACATCCAAACATAATGAAACCTGCTCTAGTTGCAGCACATGTTACATCCGTCCTTAAAGTATTAAATAAGTCAACAAAACCTGTTGGTGGTATATCTGAGTAAGTATCTTCAAAGGAGTATTTTTTACCATTCACAACAACAAAGTCTTCTGGTGTCAAAAGAGCAAAACAGGCTTTAGTCGTCATCGTGTTTAAGGTTAGTTTACAATATCGTCCTTGAGGACTTTGTAAGTTTGTTGTTATAGAATTATATGACTCAGGGTTTTTAGTCGTAATAGTATAAACCACTATGTCTTCTGCCATTTACATATATTTAAAAGTTTTTCTGAAAGTGGAGAAGAACTTCATCTAAACTTTCACATGGCGTTTCTTGAAGTTCTCTGTCTAAGAAGTTCAAATATTTTGTAAAGACATAGAACTTTCCTTTGTCTACACGAACAAACAAAACAGGGTCTTTCATATCGTTCAAAAGTGTGTAAAGTCCTTTACATGAAATAAAGTCTATATTATTTTTCTTCAAACATCTTTCAAGAAGTTTTGACATTTTTACTTAGCAAATAAATTTTAATGAAATGTTGTGGTCGTCAAATATTTTTATGACGTCTGGGAAACTATACTTTAAGTTCAACGTTTCACCTCCTTTCATAACGTATATCTTGTCAATGACATTATATGAAACACCACAGCAACTAATGTCGGGTTCTATTTCTTTGATGTTTATATCGTCTGCCTCTGTCAAAAGTTTCAATAGTTCTTTCAAAATTCATGAGGTGCAATGACATATGAGTTCACTTTTACAGGGTTGTGTTCGACCAAGTTTAACATTATACTTAAAGCTTGACAAATCTTCTCCTGAGTTTGAAGTTTGTCTTTCAGTTGTTGGTAGTCGTTTCGAATATCTGCAACAGAACTTAAGTCTCTGCTAACTTCAGGATATGTTGGTTGTTCTTTTACAGGAACAATTGTTATACCATCTTCGTCCTCGTATGGTTTCCCCACTTCAACATCTCTGTCTTTGACATTGACAACAACACTTTGACTGTTTGTTTGAGTTGGTGAATTTAACTTCACATCTGCCACCGCCATTAAACCTTTTGAAACACTTACGCTTCTATTTTCGGAAATGACATTTTACTTAGAATAAAAAGATGGACGTATTCGGATATCTTATTGAATTGAAGCAGAACAAAGTTTATACTCACAAACAATACAAATACATTGACAGAATAGTTCTTTACACAAACAATGGAAAATGTTATAGAATAGCAGTCTTTACTGAACCTAAATATTTTCATAAAGCAAAGAAAGTTGGTATAACTGAAATGGTGAAAGTTCTTGAAGCAGACAAAAATATAACAACAAAACTTACAGATATTTCTAAAGGTAAGTTTATAATACAATATTATGTCAAAACAGGTGTCATAACTATTTACGATGGAGAGAAGTCAGTTCAAGAACAACTTACTGACCTGCTGCCAAAATCTGCTCGATGGAAGCTGTCGTTATGCCAATCTGAGGAGCCCCAGCAGGTTTCATCGAACGAATCTTCAAAAGAGCATCTTCCGTGAAAAGTGCTATTGGTTTTGTAAACTTCTTTGCTCTCAGTTCATCTGGACCGTCTCTGTCACCAGTATATTGTATTTGTACAGTACCAACAGTTGAAATACCACCCATAAAGTCTTCTGAGTCAGCAAATGGAATGCCAAGCCAAAAGTTTGAACGGTCTCCATTTGTATATTGAGTTTTTTGACCTCCTGTATGAGTCCATACTTTCACATATGGCATAATAGAACTTTGCATTTCAGGGTTAATGGTCGTTGTGAAGTTGTTGTTAAAGTTCATAGCATCTAATGTCAAGTTGTATGACCTCATATCCTCAACTGTAGAATATTCTTCTCTTGGATAATATTTGCCATCTATGTTTATATGATATTTAATACCAGGGTTGTAGAAACAAGAATAGTCATTTATAGTTCGTCTGAACAGTACAAACATAGTATCTGCATGTTTCATTGCAGTTGTTAAAGCAATATCTGTTCTTGCACCTGGGTCAGCACTTTGGTTTCCAACTTCACCTGCAAAGTCTTTGACAGATATTTGGTGTATAGGGAACATAAGTGGAACTGCAATATATTTGGCAGCTAAAGCATTTGAAATATCTGGGTCCAACATATAGACTGCAAGTCTGCTTTCTATTCTCTTGCATTCAAACTTTTCGCATGTAAACTTAACTGGGTCCCAAGCAGTTCCAGCAGCATTGAAATAATAGTTTACTTCATTGTTGAAGTTTGAGAAACCAAAGTCTAAGTCAACTTTGTCTTTGCAAAAGTCACAGAACTTGGCTCCACCAGTTCCAGCTACAGTAATGCTGAATGGGTCTTGTGTTGGTGCAATGACTAAGTTATTTTTGCTTGGAGTAAGTTCAATAGAAATTTTTCCTGCCCAGTTTGGCAAGTATCTTAAAAACCTGAAGATGAGGAAAGATGACAAAGGAACTCTAAGTTTCAGTTTTACTTTAGTGGCAGCAGTTCCATCTGAACCAGAAAGGTTAACATAAACTCCTGGAACGTTAGGGTCAAGTCTTCTTATTTTCTCAATATTTGCATACTGGTCTGTTTGTTCTCTAGCTTGTGGTTGTACTGAGTTTCTCAAAGCGAACCATTCATAGTTTGCCCATGTTACTGTTTGAACTAAGTCAGAGTTAGAATATATCTTATATCCCATGAAAACTTCTGGAGCATATTGGTATCCGACATAGAAAATTCCATTGCAACCTTTCTTGTCAGACAACTTGGCAGAAGGTTTTATTTCAATGTCTTGTTCCACGTATAAGAAAGAGTTGTCAATAGAAATTATATGAAACCTGTCGCAAGCAATATCTACTGTTGTTGAAGAACCTTCTCCAAACTCACCTACGTTTCCATAAGAAACAGCAGTTGTATATTCGTAAGTTCCAGGAACTATTTCTGACCTTCTAATGGCATTGTCGCATTCGTTATACCATTCGGAAACATTTCCGTTCATGGCATCCAAAACTGTTGGCGTTATATTCTGAGCGGCGTACATTTCATATGGGTAAAAATATAGAATAGTTGGATTTATATATCATAATAGAACCCACTCGGACCAAGCTTTACTTTCTTCTGACTGAGTTTTTAACTCTTCTTTTTCCTTCATTGCCACTACTTTCACTAGATGAAGTTACTTCTTCACTACTTTCACTTTGTTCTACTCTTCTCTTCTTCTTTGGTGTCGCTTTTGGTAACTTGCCCTCTGCTTCAAGTTGTTGCATCTTTGCCTCATGTTCACCTAGTATGTTGTAAATTTCCCATGTCCTTTTTGCCTTTGGGCTCTGGTCGCCCATCTCAGGTAGCCTATATCCTAGAAAGATTTTGTCATAGTTTGTATTTGAGTCGTCGCTTATTGTTTGCATGACTCTTTCCTGAGTTTCCGGTTCAAGCTCTTCAAACAGTGCTTGTCCATATGGAATAAGCTCGTTTCCAAATATATGTTTTTGTAGCCATTCTGGTTTTCTTTCCATGTTACCAACAATATCTTTTGTGAATGGGAAAGCTTTTACCCAATGTTTCAGTCTTGCGTCATTTATTTCTGTAGTTGGTTTTATTTTGTCAAGGAACATGTTTTTCAATACTAACATTTCATTTGGTACTGTCCATTTGAGTTTTCTTAAATATTCATCCCTTCTCGGTTCATTGTCTGCAAAGTAAGTTTTTATGACATTTTGTAAACTTTCGTTTGCAAGGTCATGTACAATAGGTTCTCTTCCTTCTCTCTCCCTAACTTTCTTTCTAAACTCTTCACCAAATATACCATCTTTATGGTTCTGTGTAGTTCTTTGAGATAAATGTTCTAGAACGTCAGGTGTTATATTTCCATCAGCCATGTTCATTTCATACTGGTTCAAAATATCTGCATCTTTCATATCTTTCAATGGCATTAAAGCCGCGCTGAAAATACCAGCTACATCTGGTTCACCATTCACTTCCATTGCGTCTACAACTTCTTGGAATTGTGGTTGTAAGTTTATGAACCACCTATCCGGATTAGCTTTATGACCCCATCTCATTGTAGTTCCATCGTCTGCAGAAACAAAAGTAGGTTTGTTTCCATATTGGCTAGGTTCTGAATGAACTTTAAACAATGTTTCATTTCTATATGTTTTGTTGAAATTTAACCTTTTATTTTCACCGAGTTCATCCAAAGATTGAACGTTATATGCTCGTAAGTAAAAAGGATTGTTGTATTTGTGTACATTATCTTTCAGTACTTCCATTCTATGCTGGATATTTTCATCTGATGTTGGAGTCTTTTGTATGTCGGCGAACATTTTTCGATATTCTTCTACTATGTCAGCCGAATTTTTCTTAGACTCTTGGAAAGATTCCATATTCCCCGCATACACTTGTTGAGGGTCAAGATTTTTCGGCTGTTCCAAATCTTCATCTAGTTCTGTGAAGTTAGTTTCCAAAGGAGGGATTTGTTCGTTTCCTTCAGGCTCTTCTAGCTGTTGTTGCTGAACTATTTCTTCCATGTCTGGTTGTATCTGAACTTCTTCCTGTGGAGTTTCTTGTACCTCATCTGCTGGCATTTCATATATTCCGAGACCGTTTTTAACAAGTTCCCTATTTAAGCCATCCGCATTCATAACCCTTTCTTCTTTCGTTCCGTCTCTATTTTTTACGCGTTTCATGAAGATAGTTGAATTATCATTTATCTCTGACACCAAATATCTTGGAGTAAATTCATCCATGTCATTTGGATGATATGCTATAGTTAGTATACCTAAGTCGTGTACTGTGGCACTGCGCGCCTCCGTACACAACTTAGCGGTTTTGACACTTTACGAAACCGTTAATGTATATTTTACAACACAAACACAAACACCAACTTAACCTTAAATATTTATAAAGCCGCCAACCACTTCACCTCACTAATGAAAAAATAAACGTTTTCACAAACGACTTCACTAATGTAAAAAATAAACGTTCTCACTTACAAAAGTATTGCAACTCCTCCCATTGCTGTGCTTCACATAACAGCTCATAATCTTCTGACTCACTTTCTTCTTCATATAGGTCAAAATCACTGTCAAAATGAATGTTAGTAAGTTTTGACAAAGCTAATGAAACACGTTTACCGTTTGTATCGTATGCTTGTATAAACTTTCCATTCTTCATTCCTTCATAAACGCTCAAACTAACTTTACCCTTTCTCCCTCGTATCTGATAGAATGTATTTTCACGAGGAACGAAGAACAAATTCTTGAACTCATGACCGTTGTAGTTTGTTATCTCAATAGTTTTCGTCATTTACATCCAAATAAAAATTTTCAGTAAAATAATAAAATAAACTTAAAAATTAATGATATCACCACCCTCACACGTATGAAAACATAGCGCAAAAATAAATTTAGGTGAAGTGGTGAAATCTCACCTCTTTTTTCACCCTAGCCGCAAAGCGGCTCTGACCCTTTGGGTCTGTTGAATTCATTACTTTATAACTCTCTTCCTTTCTCCAACTCTTCTAACTTCTTCTTAAGTTCAGCAATGTTGTCCTCATGAAGTTTAATCTTTCTCAAAATTCCTTCTTTATCTAATGGTTGCTTTATCTTTCTAAACTGAACTCTACCATCCTTCATAGTATGAACGTAAAAACCTTCTGGAACCGCTCCTGATTTAATGTATTCTACCAAAAATTTTTGTTTCATTGCTTCAGTGACTTTAGTCGTCATTTCAATCAAATAAAAATTTTAATATTAAATAAAAATAACGTTATTTTTTCAGTAAGGAAACGCAGGAGTTTTACGATTTATTTGTGGTGTAGGTTCTGGTTTAAATGTTGGAGTCGGTTTTGGAGTTGACTTTTGAACAGGAGTTTGTAATTCCATAGGTTCAGGAGTCATTGAAGGTGTTGTTTGTGAAGGCGTTGGTTTTGGCGATGGTGTCGGAGTTTGTTTAACTTCAGCTACTTCAGTATTATTTACAACATTTGCTTTATTTCTTTTCAACATCATTACTGCTCCTGCTGTAGCTAGCAAACCTAGTGGGAGACCATATTTTATATAAGGACTTGACCAAATGCTATTTTTGACAGGAGCTGGTGGAACACCTAACCTTGGTGAGACTGCTCTTTGCCATTGTGCAGCTCGTAAGAAATATTCAATAGGTGCTCCATAATCGTTTAGTAAAGTTTGTTTCATAGATGGTGAAGGTTCACGAGAGCTTGATGAAGAACTCATTTATAAGCTTTAAAAATAAACGTTCATCCTTTATTCCTCACTGTCGTCAGTTGCTAAGTTATAGTCGTCAAGTCTTATTATTGGTATGCCTGACTGTCTTACTTGTATTGCAAAGCAACAATCCCTCATAAATCCAATATAAGTGGCTTTGGTACATTTTCTGTTGCTAGTTCAATAGGTCCTTTAACAGACAATTTGTATGTTATGGAGCAGTAGATGTTTGACTTGCTGGAAGCAAAAGTCCACTTCTGTTGGAAAACCACATAAGAAATGTGTGTTGTCATAGCTATCCATTTATGTTCCACACTACCATCATCACCAATGACCTCATAACATCTTCATTAAATCCTATCATATCATTGTTTGTATTGCAGGCGTTCGCAACCATTTCATAAAATACAGGTCCATATGATTTTTTCAGGTTCTGCAGGCACTATTTTCCATAAGCTCCCATGGAAAGCTGAAGATATTTAAACTTAGGGTTTCTCAAATTACATAATAGTTGTCTTTCTTTCTAAATAGTGCCCAAATACTTTTACATTAATAGGCGTATAAGCTGTGTAAATGTTGCACTTGAACTATCTGATTCTTTTTGAGAATGAACGTCCATAGGAATCCAATCCATAACTTTAACAGGAAAACATAAAGCCTCGTTTGTATAATTTCTACAAGTTCTGTAAAATTTAGGTCTAAAGAGAATGACTTTGGATGAATGAAACATTCATTAAATCATCTTTGTTCATGCGTATGAAACAAATGAAGCAAGAAGAGCACATGAACTAGTAAACGAAAACTCAACTTTAACCATTGAAGGCAATGATTTAGTCATTGACGATGGAAAAAAAAAAAGTCATTGATTTCGATACTTTTAACACTTATGACCCATTCATTACAACAAGCAAGGTTCCTATCATAAATGATGGAACGGTGCAATATATAAATTCTACAGTAGATGCCTCATTAGTGAAAGTATTAAATGTTCTCATTGAATTGTTAAAGAGCTTTCGATTTGACGACAACATTAAATGCCTAAAGAATTTAGTCATGAATGAGAAACAAATTCTTGGCGTTGCTGGTAGCAGTAATGATGTACACCTTATGACATTAGAATATTATAACGAACATAAAGATGAACTGAAAGGAGAGAAGGGTGACACCGGACCTCAAGGACCACAAGGAATACAAGGAATACAAGGAATACAAGGAATACAAGGACCTCAAGGCGAAAACGGTTTGGATGGAAAGGATGGAAAGGAAAAACTGCTAAATCATGGATATGGGACCTTATAAATACTGGTTTAACAGCTGCTTCATATGGAGTTCTTCAATACCAAATCGGAAAGATATGGGCGGTACTTGGTGAAGAAGTTTTAAATGACGTTAAAAATGCTTTGAACTTCATTTCAAATGGTTCGGATACTATTAAAACTTTATCTGGTTGGATGCAAGAAACAAGGAGTCAAATAGATACTGTAAGACGTATAGCAAACAATGCACGTACGGGATTGGATACTTTACGACAAGCACAAAATACACTAAAGGAAGCAAATGATATTCTTGGCTCAGTATCAGACATGCATGAAGATTGGCTTAAAGGTATTGACAAATCTTTAAAAAATCACAGTCAGTCTATTGCTGACTACAAGAAAAGTATAGATTTTTTACATAGTGCTATGGACGTACATGATGGAAGCATAAGGAACTTACTTAATGCTAACAATAACTTACCAGGAACTATTAAAGCATTTATAAAGTCCTTTGTAAAACCCGGTGCTCTAACATTTAGGTCTTTGAGAGCAAGAGCATTGAAGTCAAGAGATGCAGAAACTCCAACAGAACCTACAGAAGGAACTGAAACAACAGAAACTCCAGAAGAACCACCAAAAACCAACAGCTAATGAAATATTGTTCGAATATTTTCCAAGGTACTCTGTTCTCATTGCATACATTCAAGAAATACTTAAGAAAGCAGACTTGACTTTAGGAGATGATGAAAGTTCTGTATATCTTTCGTTCCAGTTTCAAATAGCAGAACTTTTGAGACAGATATGTTTAATGTATGACAACATATCTGATTTCACAAGATATGATGACGACCATGACCCCGAACACGGTGAAGAAGAAGTTTTACAAACATCCATTAAGACAGGAAAGGTTTTAACACAAAGTCTCATTATTGACACCAAAGATGGCGAAGTGGACGTTCTTCAAGAGCTGAAGAAAAATACTTCTTCGGGAGGTGGTGGTAGGCATGAACTTGAAATAAATGAGATAGAAGAGAAATTAGCCGAAAAAGCAGATAAAGAACATAAACACAATATCTCCGATATAAATGAACTTCAAGCTACATTAAATAGTAAAGCGGACAAAAATGAACTTGACGCAATGAACAAAGTTTTGAAATCTCATAAACACAACATCTCCGATATAAATGAACTTCAAGCTACATTAAATAGTAAAGCGGACAAGAACCATGTTCATTATATAACTTCAGACGAACAGATTATAACGGACTACCATGGATATTTAACACGAAGTGATGAAGCGAAGACAAAAAATGTTAATGAAAGAAGATATAAATACATTCGTGCTAAAGGTTATGACATAAGCTGTACTGTACAGTATGATGTAGCTAAAGCACCAGAAGCATTTGGTTATACCGGTGAAATTTATGCCTCTACTTTCAATGTTAACGGTGTATTAGTTGAACCAAGATTTACTTTGAGAGTTAAGGCAAAAATAACGTTTGAAGATGCTATTAAAAGTAAAGCTGACAAAGTTGAACTCGAAGCAACGAACAAAGTTTTGAAATCTCATAAACACAACATCTCCGATATAAATGAACTTCAAGCTACATTAGACAGTAAAGCTGACAAGAACCATACACATAAATCCTTCACTACTGTTAGAGCAGACGACATAATATTGAACTTTGACCTTGGTTCAAGTGCACCATTAGAAAATCCAAGTACAAGCGTAAAAGATACTCTAAACTTTAGATAACAAATGTAGATTGAAGTCATGCCAGAAACTTTGAAGCACATGAACTACCAACAATGTTAGATAAGAAAGCAGATAAAACTTATGTGGATGCAGAACTAACAAAGAAATTTTCGAAACCAGATACAATGACATTTACAACAGAAATTATAAATGGTGAACCAGCAACTCCATTTGAATTTGTTAGAGGTCTTCAACCAGATACTTTTGAATTTTTCTTGGATAATTCTATTGAACTAACATTACATTATAAAAGTGGAACAAATGCAACATTTCATCCGGGAGATACATTCCAAATGGTATTTAATGACATAAGTTCTTTAGAATATGTTTATAGAGTTATGAGCATATATGATTTAATATATCCTATAGGAGCTGTTTATACGTCTATGAATCCAATAAATCCAAACACTTTATTTGGTGGTAGATGGTATGAAATAGTTGACAGTTTTCCATTCTACACTAATACGCAGTCAATGAAGATGGGAGGTTCAAAGAAAATAGGTATTGAAAACCTTCCTTCACATATGCATAGGTTCAGTGGAAGAACATCTGTGGAAGGAAACCATTCACATTCAATAACAAAAAGAGGTTATACAAATCTTGCAGCGGGTTCGGATAGACAGGGAATGCATAGATATGATATTTCAACTGACCCAGTAGATTCAAGCACAGGTATTTTCTGTGGAACCGCAGGAAATCATACACATGTTGTAGCTGGTATTACAGACCCAGCAGGTAATGGAAAAGATTATATGCCTCCTTATATAACAATGCACGCTTGGATACGAGTTGGTTAAACTCTTTAACTTTACATAAATGAGCTTGAAAGAAGTATTCGAACAACATCCATGGAGGTCATTTAAGAAGTTCAATGAAGCTGCAAAGAGTCGGGGATTTACTAACAGAGCTGAAGTGAAAAGGTTCTTTGACAAAAATGTTGTACATCAAACAAAAATAAACCCTTACGACTACTTTTTACCAATTTACTCCAACACTCCTGACGCATACCAATTTGACACTCTCATTCAAAGCAGAAAAGGAGGACATAAACCATTCCTCATCTTCATAAATGTTAACACTCGTAAAGCATATGCATATCCAATGAAAAATAAAGGAACTCGTGAAGTGTTAAGAGTTTTACAAAAGTTTGTAGCAGAACATAACCCAAGTACTTTAACATCAGACCAAGACAGTGCATACCTCAGCAATGAAATCACAGAATTTCTCATTAAGCATAACATAACTCACTACACTACTGAAGACCATAACCATAACATACTCGGCATCATAAACCGCTTCATAAGGACTCTCAGAGATTTAAACCAAGAGCGAGACTTTACCGAAGAAACAATGAAACATTTTCTCGAAGTATATAATTCCTCAACACATTCTACAACAGGACATACACCAAATTCAATGACACAACAACAAGAAGAAAAGTATATACAAAAGAAACGAAGCCAAACACAAAATATCAGAAATTCAACACAATTTACCCTCATTCCTGGTACAAAAGTTCGTGTAGTTCTTGACGACAAACCGTTGACAAAGAAACGTTTAAGGTTAAGTCGAAATTTATTATCGTAGACTCTACGCAAGGTAATGGATATCTTATAAAAGCTGCCGACGACTCTATTGCGTTTTATCCTCGACATAAATTAGTCGAAAGTAGTAATGGCAAACTTGCTGAAACCATTGACGAAGCAAAGCGAGGAGTGGTTATTGAAATACTTGGCTATAACACAAACGATGACACTTATAAAGTAAGATATGAAGGAGGCGTTGAAGATGTTATACCATCTAAGAACTTGAGAGAGTCGAAGCCAACACATCTGGGACCATTAGAGCGGGAGTACTGGAAAGACAAAAATATGCCAGAAAGAATAAGAAAATTCTTCTAAACTTTTTCATTAGATGTAAATCAGACAAAAATAATTTTAGGTGAAGAGGTGAGATCTCACCTGTTTTTTCACCTTTTTTCACCCGTGAATTTTCATGAATTTTCACAAAAGACCAAAAATAAAGTTAGTTTTATTTTTTTTATTTTTTTTATTTTGTATGTAAGACAGAAATGTCAGTCGAAGCAAAAACATTCACGAACAAATCTAATGGTGAAACATTCACAAAAGGCACTTATAACGGTATTGAAGTCTTACGTAGAGACAAGGATGGTTACATTAATACAAAAGAGCAAGATGGCAAGAGAAGCAGGAAAGTTAAACCATTTAAACAGATTTCTCAATAGTGCTAAAATGCAGGAAATTCTTGAGTTTTGGTTGAAAGAATACGGTCGAGCCAAAAGTGGCTCAACCTCAAAACAAGCATTTTATGAGCTTACTAAGGGCGTTATGAATGAATTCAAAGGTATTTACATACATGCTGACCTCGTTCATTTTGTTGCTGAATGGTGCTCTGTAAAGTATGCATTTTATGTCAAAGATATTATGGACTCCATAGACAAGAAAGTTCATGAGAAGTTAGATGAAGAAGAACTCGAAGATACAGTGGAGAATGCTAAACCTTTGTTCGAAGAAGAAGTTGGAAAAATGTGTGAAAAACAATTAGAACATGAACGTGAGATATATTATGGTTATAGAGATTCTCCATACGAACTAGACCAATGGGAACAAGAAGATTTAAAGAGAGAATTTAGAGAATATGAACTCGCTAAGATAGCATTTGAAGCTGCAGAAAAGAAGTTAAAAGTTTGGGGTCGTTTTGTACAAAAATATTGTGAGTAAATGAACCATTTATTTTTATTGAATTCACCAAAAATATAATTTTAGGTGAAGAGGTGAGATCTCACCTGTTTTTTTTCACCTCTGAATTTTCATGAATTTCCTTAAGATAGAAAAAATAAAGTTAGTTTTATTTTTTTTATTTTTTTATTTTGTATAAAAGATATGATTTCAACAATCGGCACAACAACAATTCAAGCCGCGAACGGCGGGACTCTGTCCACAACAACAGCACCAAACTCGTTAGTCATGAATCCTACGTCAATGTTAGTAGAGATGAAAAACTTCATTCCTTCTTCATATACTTTTGAAACAAAAATCCAGAAGATAAAGCAAGAACTTTTAACAAGTAATTTAGACTGTAGTGCGAAAGATGAAGAAAATGAAGAATATCTTTATGAAATGCAGGACATTATTGACCATTTACCCAAATTGCCTGAAATCCAACAACAAAAACTCACTATTCCTGAATTCGACGAAATTGAAGTGAAACCAACTGACTCAGTAGAAATAAAGAAGTTCATACGTAAAGTAAATTATGAATTCCTTGGTTTTCATTGCAACCATAAAGTTATGGACAAAGATTGCGACATGGTATATAAGAATGTTTCTGACATATATAAATCTGAAGAATTTAAGACTTACGATAACTTTGTTTCATTAGTTGCAAAATGTGTTTGGGAAATAAGAGATAAAGATAGAAGAGGCAAAGTATGGAACGAACAAATAAGACCCGCTATGTTTGAGATGAAGAAAATTGACGCCTTAGTTGTTTTAGCTGGTTTTATTTCAATGTATAACGCAAAAATGAACCCGCAATGTTCAAAATGTAAGGCAGCAATTAGGAAATATAACTACTCAGTCAAAGAGATAGAAAGAATGAGAAACGACTATGCAGACTTAAAGAAAGAAGCAGAAAAGCCAGCAGAAGATAAAATGAACATGTTAGAATTTCTGAACAAAAACTATCCAACAGCAGAAGATTTCCTTCTATCTGACGTCAAGAAGAAGTATAAAGAAACCTTCGGTATTGTTAAAACTTTTGACATACTGACAGAAGAAATAGAAGCTACGAAATTGTTTAGGATTTCAAATATACATCGTACAATTCATGTAAAACGCTTGTGAAAAAACTGGGGTGAAAAAAGAGGTGAGGTGAGATCTCACCTCTTCACCTAAACATTATTTTTGCTTTAATTAAATGCTTTCCGGAAACGTCGATGAAAATCATATGGACAAATTATATGAAAAAATTAATAATGATTACCCCTCATTAACCAGGGAAATGACGGATTCTATAGTTCGTAAATTCGATGAAATACAGGATATGTGGTTCGACAGATTCGACATGAACGATAAGGAAAAGAGAAAGAACGATAACAATTTACTTACTAAAAGAATCCTAAAATCTAAAATAGGTGAAGCTTCAACATTTAACACAGTACATAACTTTTACACCTGTTTATATTTTCAATAATTTATTTAACGATGAACGAGAAAGAAAAAGTATGTTTAACGGAAGAAATGAATATGATTTTATCCTTTGTGCTGTTCGGGATGTTGACATGAAACTAAAGAAAATATTCTTATTACAAGATGACACGGTTGAAGATGAAGTCAATGAGTTTTTAAATCGTGATTTAAATGAAATTGATGAAGTTATGACCGAATGTTATAAAAAGTTCAAGGGGTGAAAAATTAGGTGAAAAATTAGGTGAGATCTCACCTCTTCACCTAAATTATATTTTTGTTCAAAGCTTCCACGAGAGAAAAGATTCCTCATTCGCTAAGGATTCCAAAAATGAAAAAATCATTGATTTCGGCTGAGAAAAAACAGCAAAACCCTTCTTCCACGGGAACAAAGAAATAAAGAAGAAATAAAGAAGAAATAAAGTAAATTTTTTATTTATTCCCGTGGAAGATAGAGCACTTTTATGACACTTTTTATTCACGACAAACAAGACAAACAAAGAAAATAAGAAAATACGGCGCTGTCGCGGTTCGAACCACAGACTCTGACCCCTCCATAACACCACCTTAGACCACTGTGCTACGTAGCCTGTCGACATAAGATTTTATAAATTGCATATTTGACGTAAATTTATTTCCATCTAGCTTCCCACCGCATAAGATATTCATACGTGTTTGTAAGACATTCATTAAAATTCT